CAGGCTGACGTCGGAATCAGTACGTTCTTCTTCTAGCCGAGTGGCTCGCTTCTGGATTTCAGCCTGTTTTTTCTTGTTTGTTTGTTTTCTATTTCTTCAGAATTACTTTGGACTGGCGTCGCCCGAAAACCCGCAACTGGTTATCCAGAATGTTCTGGATTATGACAAAGTCCCAAGCGTAGAGGTGCTCTTGTACGCTCAGGTGAGGATGCATCACCAATTTCACCGCAGGTTTTGTTACTAGCCTTTGAGCGTTTTGTCGCGTGCTCCGTAAAGCGCCTTGGACAGCTGCAGCTGTTGTGAACGCACATGTCAATAAAGTTGAGTGGAGTTGGGTTGAGCTCAACGACTCGTGATGGCAAAACAAAGCTTCACGAAGCACTTGTGTTCTTTGTTTTGACTCCTCTCGATGGTGCTCGGGTTTAAATATAAAAGTGAGTGCAATGGAAATGTCTTAAAATTCCACAGCATCTTTAAACCAAGAGTGCCATCTAGAGGAGTCAAAAACTATCGCAGAAGTGCTTCATGAAGCTTCGGTCGCCCATCGCGACTTTGAACGTTACTCTCTCGGGTCAGGCAGCTCAAAAACAATCGTGGGGGTTCTCTCTTCCGTTTTTCCCGGCACTTCAATGCCATTCAATATGATTTACAGACAATCGGTCGAAGAAAAATGCAAGGCGATTATCTGGTCGCTGCACTCAAGCGAATATTCCGGGAGCACGACCACCCTGAGCTCGTGACAACACTGCACTTACCAGTGGAGTCTTTGCGAGCTAAGAGCTGAGTGCACATTGCAATCGTGCCAGGTCACCGCCAATGTCGACAACGGTGGTCGAGCTCATATCCATTTTTTGGTTTGGTTGGTTTTTTTTTTCGTATGACTGCGGCGGCGGCGGAGGGGTGACTCACGTCAAAGTCCGAAGGGCGTTATGTGACGCCTTTTCTCCACGGAGGTCCTCAGCCAGATTATATTTTCTTTCGACAAGGACACGCCATTGTCTGGTTCCGGCGGCCAGGTCTCATTCACCGCCACCGCCACCATCCAAGTCACCGTGGTGGACGTGGACAACAGACCGCCCTGGTTCCAGCCCTGCAACAAACACGTGGTGGCCGGTGCCGTGGTCTGCCAGAACACCGGTTACACCGGCCGGGTGAACCTCAACGAAATGCAGGCGAGTTCCTCTCATGATCAAGCTTTCCATTAAAGGTCAGACCCTTCGACTCCCGACCAAGGGCTGGGAGGAAGTCACCTATCGGCATCGGGCCGATTATTGGTTTCCGGCCGATGTTGACCTTAAATCGGACGCCTCGACTGGCCGTATGACTTGCTTAGGCCAAGTGACAGCTTGACTAGCTTGCTTTTGCCCCAGTAGCTTCGGAGCTCCTTGAAATTTCAAGGTGGAGACTTGAGACTGGTTTATCCAGTCGAAGGTCGGAATGTTAGCGCATGTCCTCGTCTGATTTGGTTTCGGATGCTGTCCTTACACCAGGCCGAGCCCTTGACGCTGAAGCCCGGGCCGCTTCACGCCATTGACGGCGACGTTGGGATCAACGAGGCCATCGTCTACTCCTTCCTGAGCGGTAAGACGCGCGTCCGTTCTAATTCACGTTTCCGACCCGCCTCCGGGGACCTGCCGTGGTCACATCCTGCTGTCCGTACCAGGAAATGAGGACGGGCTGTTCGACATCAACCCAAACACCGGCAACGTCACCATGGTGAAGGCGGCCGACGTTTTGGGGACCATCAGTCTGACAGTTCTGGTGAGTCCTACTCAGTGCTGCCTGTCACTTTTGAGTCAGCTGGAGTTCGTAGGCCTACGTTGAGGACCTTGATTTGGCGGAAATTTTCATTCCTTCATTTTTTTGTTCAATCAATGAAGACAAAAAAACACTGCGGAAAACTTGGGTCAGGACTTGATTGTGAAAAACTTGTTTGGGGGTTTGCTCTTCTCCGGCAGGCGGCCCAGACGCCAAGCAGTTCTCAGTTTGCCACCACCAGCCTCACAGTCAGCGTTCAGGTGAAGAGCCTGCACATACCGCGATTCCAGAGGCCCGAGTACCAGTGTGTGGTCGCTTCAGTGGGCGCCATGGCGACAGACCCGACCAACAAGGACGAGCCGCTTCAGATCATCGCCTTGGATGATGACTACGCCAGTGTGGGGGTAAAGCCCTGTTGATTCTTGAGCAGTTGCTATTCTTCAGGAGATTTGCTCCGGTATCTTCTATACATCACTTGAGTACCTGTTTCGTCATCGTTTTTAACATACGCATGGCCTTCCTCTTCCCGCCCCACCAGGGGATAAACCCTCACATCGTCTATGGCGTCATCGGAAGCGAGGACTTCTCCATCGTTAACGGCTACTTGTTCATGACCACGAATCTCCCGGAGGGCACTCTCTCTCTGCAAGTGAGCTCCCCCAACCCAAAGCCCGGTCGGGTACACGAGCGCAGCCGTCGTCTGGCTAAACTCCTGACCTCACCCTGCAGGTGGAGGCGGTGGACACGTCCAATGAGGAGAATGTAAGAGCGCAGCTCTCGGTGGAGGTGAAATCAGGTAAGAAGACCTCCTCTCACACGGGGCAACCATAGGGGGACTGTGTTTACATGACTCAGATGGAGTCGGACCTAAATTCAGAACCATGGACTCCTGTACATAGCTCAAGGCTACCAAAGACTCGACTTAATCTCCGTATTCGTCGGACATTGAAATCGGTGACCTTTCCTTTTTCAAGGCCGAAAATCCGCACGCGGCATTTTTGAAAGAAAGCGTTGTGCCCGCAAACTCGGTCACCCGCCGCTAGGCTCTGTTGCCGAGTTCACCTCTTGAGCCAAGAATCACGGAGCGAGCCCTGAACATGACTGAGGTTCTCGGGAGCCGTTGACTTTAGCCTCATTCGGTGATGGGCTTCATCGAGAAGACGAGAGGAGCATCGAAAACACAGAGACTTATGATCGACTACTGTACTTCTGGGAAGCTGCCAAACGTCTCTGGCATCGTGCCAGGCAAAGAACTGATATCAAACCTTACGGCGACTCCAGACTCTTTCCACCGGCGGCTGTGGAATGGGCCTTCTGGTCTGGAAATCATTGACCGTCTCAGGTGTCAAATGTTTTGGACACATGCTCATGGAATACAAAACAAGTCTGCAGACTCAGCTCAATCAGTGGAGACCCTATTGCTTCTTCTTTTGACCATTTGTTTATAGCTCCTGGTCAATCTATGTGTGTTGTCGTTTTACCGATCCCAATTGATTGTTGGGATTTTATCTGGACTTTCGTTCTTTCATTGAATTATCTTTTGGTCCCCACAAGGCACGGTGGGGATTTGCCTTGCACACGCATAGTGGGACACAAAGAAACTTGCCGTGCCCCGACTTGCCATCCAATCCGAGAAGGGGTATCACCATCCATCGGTTTCCTAGCGCTGATCCTGTTCAGGTTGGCGGGTGAGCCGGAGTCTCTCCCAGCTGAGGGTGGCCAACAGGGGAAGTTAAACACCCTGGACAAACCGGAGAAAATCCCAACAAAGAAGGAAATTGAGGGGTAGATATATCCGCCGTGTGGGCTGCTGTCAGCAGTTCTGGACTGTCACGTCCAAATCCCTCAAGAGGAATCCTCCATTTTCTTTTGGGATCAGGTCTGAGCCCCTTCTCGTTTTGCTGCAGTGATGGGCAGACTGACAGACAAGGTCCCACGGGAGTTTCCGTTCACGACAATCTTTGCAGATCTGCGGTGTAGAGTAGGGACCGGGCGGAAGAGAAATGAGAGAAGCGGACGGAAGCGCCGGAGAGACGAGGACTGAAGGTCAGTCGAGTAGAGGTGTGAATGAAGAGGGGGAGGGCGGAACGATGAGTTTACGCGGAGTCGAGGTGGAGAAGCTGCAGGAGGTCCAGTCGTTGGCGGAATGAACGCGGTGGAGAAGAGGCGGAGAAGAGAGTACAGGCGGGATGGGGCCAAAGGGTGGCGAAGCGAGCAGCGGCAAAAGTGAAGGGTCACAAGACCGTCGGGAGGCCAGCCATATGTTTACGGTTTGAAGACAGGAGCACTAACAACAACAAAGACTGGGGACAGAGCTGGAGCTGACATAGTTGACGGACTTTGGGATCGATGGGGATGGAACTGATCAGGCGGGAGAACATCAGAAGGACAGTAAAGACGCAAATGAAATTAGTAGAGGACAAAGCCAGGAGACGATGTTAGGATGGAACGAGGCGGGGAAAAAAAAAAACAAGTAGATGAGTGGAAAACAACAGCGGGCACTCTCACAAAGCTTGTACATTCAGCTGACTCAGGACGACGTTCCCCCATTTGATTGGCGGACAGTCGCGGGGCTGAATCGTGGCGCTGGATGGATGGTGACAGCTCCCCGCCCCCGCCCCCTAAGATTCACATGTGCTCTCCTCTCAGGTCTCACCACCACTGCTTTGCCTTCGAGCACTCCCGACAGCTCGACCAGCCCCGCGACCACTGAGGGTGGAACCACCGATCAGGCAGAGTCCACCACCAACCCCGATGCCTCCACCACCAACCCCGATGCCTCCACCACCAACCCCGTTGCCTCCACCACCAACCCCGATGCCTCCACCGAACGCAAAACCACTCAACTAATGGAGTCCACCGCCAACACTGGTACTTCCACCGAGGGTAGAACCACGGAAGCCCCTACGGAGTCCACCACTAACTCCGGAACTTCCACCGGGGACGGCGTGTCATCTGGTGTCACAGCCACGAGCGAAAGTAGCACCACCGCCTTCACCGCCACAGAATCGCAGGTGACGCCACTGGTCACCGACGGTCCCACCAGCCCTGCGGACCCTCACACAGGTGGTCATGGATTTTGTCTGACTAGCTCGCATCCGGTTGGCCGGAGAGGTTTGCCAGCTGGGTCATTAGTGTTTCCTTCACGTGACTCCCTTAGGCAGCGTGGGTTCAGTTCCAACTCGGTGACTGTGTGAACGCGAGTGCGATTGATTGTTGGACCACTGGTCCGGGGTGTTGCCCACATCAGCTACCCGGGTCCGTGAACAGGATTAGTCTTTTCTAAAATGTATTGAAGATGGATTGACCATGTCTGTCTCACAGTTCTGAAGGGCCTTTCTGTGTGGAATTTACATATTCTCTGCATGCTTGTGCGAGTTTTCTCCGTGAACTATGTCTTCCTCTCTCGTTCCCAAGATACGTAAGCATGGTCTGAAAACAACGAATGAAGGCAACTGGATTCCTCTTAGTTGGAAATTACCGTTTCGCTTCATCTGTCGTTCAGCCGCGGGCTGGAAAACAGCAGAAGCAGAAATGGTGGTCGCCACACCTAAAACTGAGACCAGAAAAAGCCTTTGGGATTCAAGTTTTAATGAGGATCAGCGGGTGGCCTGTCTTGGGAATCTTGATCCAAAAGCTCACGCTAATGGGCCATGTCGCGTAGTCCTTAGTAGGGATAGGCAACCGGAGATTCGCAAGTCGCTGGCGGTTCAACTTATCCCTCGCCATTTTTCACAGCGGCTTGAGCCACGTGTCCGCGGTTATCGACCGTTGACGTTTCTTTCTTCCAGAGAAGGCGCCTATCCCGCCGGGCGGCTTCGGGCCAGGGGACATGGCCGCGCTGGGGGCGACCCTCGGCGTTCTTCTCTTCGTCTGCGCGGTGATCATCGGAGTGCTCGTTTGTCGGCTTCAGAGGGGAAAAGCCGACTGGAGGAAGATCCACGAAGCCAGCGTCTTCCGAAGCTCCGTGAGTCAAGTCTGCCCTCGGTGTCCAATCACGTTTGATTGGTCTGGATTGAAATCAAATCTTAGCACTCAAGCCATTTTTTATTTTGTGGTTGGGTGGATTTATGAGGATTCATGTTGGTACCTTTCACACGGTACCTAAGAACCAGGACATCATCACGTTTGTGCGGTTTTGGAATTCCACTTTTCGAACTGCGGGTGTTTGACTTAACTCCCCGGTCCCGCCTTTCTGCTCTTGCGTTTCTTACGTCACTGTCCTGCCTCTGACACTTTGTGGTTTCGACTATGGACAAAGCGGGAAAAGACAGCTTTGGCGGTTGCGCGAAAGGGGATATCGCCATCTCGCCAACTGCTGAAAATGGTTTTGTCTCCGCAGGTGGGCCAGGGATTAGGTGGCGAGAAGCAGGGCGTCCAGTACACCAACGAGGCTTTCCAGCACGACGATGACGACGACGACGATGGCGGCGTGGGCTCCGGGGGTCCGTTTGTCACGACGGCAAAAGAGGGGCCGGCGAACGACTCCGCCCTCACGTCCAGCGTGAGGGCGCTGGGCACCCTCCTGGATACCGACAACATCAGCCAGACGAGCTCGGACAAGGAGAAAGAGGTGAAGCCCATCCTGACCAAAGAACGCCGCCTGGAGGAAGGCTACAAGGCCGTATGGTTCAAGGAGGACATCGACCCCAACGCCAAGGAGGAGGTGGTCATCATTCCCGACAGCAGGGCGGACGACAGCGAGGACGAGGACGACGACGCCGCCCCCGCTAAACGCTCGGAGCCGAGCTTGGCCGAGCTCGACCTGGACAGCGGATTGGGCGTGAGGATCGAGGATCCGGCGGAGGACTCGGAAGGTGACGACGTTCTGGACGTCGACCTTTGAGGAGGGCGCGGCGGGAAGCAATAAAAGCTGATGACTATTATGGTGTGACTGCACACGGAAAAAAACAAAAAAAAAAAAAACATCGCCCGAACGAACCACGCCTGAAACTCAAACCGCGTAGCAGTCATCAGCAGACTATTTTAACAAGCTGGCAGGTGGGAAGATAACGTGTTCAAAAAGTACAGCGTAATCAGGCGCCAGCTGCCCTTTGTTTTTCTGCGAGGGAGGCTACAAAGGTCAGCGGCCAGGAAAAAAGAAAGTCGGATCTTACCATTTGTTAATTTCTTCACAGCTCACTGTCCACCAGAGTCCCCGATGCACAAGCACATTTCATGTCCATCGCAAACGACCGCGTTGTTGATTCAATATGAGCAGATCAATGTTCAATCATTCTGAAAAAAATAATACACATTGTTGATCAGGGGTGTCAAACTGTTTTTTTGTCGTGGGCCGCATTGTAGTTACGGTTTCCCGCGGAGGGCCCTGATGAATTTTGGGAATAATCAATTTTACAATCAGAAGTCAAGAATAATGACTGTTATTGTGGATTACGTATGACAATTTGAAATGTTGGTTCAGACTCTAGCAAGCATTATGGAACTTGACATGATTGATTTGTTTTCGCGGGCCACATAAAGTGGTGTGGCAGGCCAGATCTGGCCCCCCGGGCCTCGACTTTGACACCAGTGTTGTAGATTCTTTCCAGTTACATTTGAAACTCCAAAAACTCCAAAAATGGCGAGAGCAGCAGCAAGGCGAGCTGGTCACTCGCCGAGTGAGTTCAGTTATGCACGAATATCAAAGGACAGCATTTTTTTTTTTTTTTTAAGTAAGTCGATATATGCAAGCTCATAAAAAATACACATGAAAAGGTTTAAACTTGGTTCTGCAGCCTATTGCGCAAGTTTTAAACTTGATCGATGATGGATTAACTGCTAACGCCAACAGGGCAGAAGTGAGAGCACACCAACACAAAAAACAAAACAGTGGGTTCAAAAGAGCCATTGTATTAAATTAAAAAAAAGAAAGGCACGTCTCATTTCAACATGTATAAAAACTTTACACCGATTGTACAACCACAAAAATAAAACCCCACGAGGACTTTTAAACAGGCACTCGTAAAAGAAATCGTAAAAAACACGACATCAAAAGAAGATTCGCAAAAGCCGTCAAGAAGCATAAAATCGATTGAAAAAAAAAAAAGCGTCATATTGATCCTTTTTTTTTTTCCCTTTTGCTGGCCATTCAATCACCGTGACAAGCCGTGATCAGTGAAATTTGCCGTGACGGGTCCTCGGGACCGATTCCTTTCACGCGGCCAATCGCCGATGGCTTCGTCGCGGCGCCACCTGCCGGCA